TCTTCCTGGTCCTCCACCTGAGTCCATAAGGATTGAATAGTCAAATGCTGTTGCTGCACAATATGTTGCAGCTCTCCCAGGGCCACAGTGACAGGGGGCAAGGTGTTTTCAACCACATCCAAACGCTGGTGCATGGAGTGGAAACCCTCCTTAATTTCAGCCATCTCCTGCTTACCTGCAGGTTCCAGGTTATGGAACATAGTCTCAATGTCCCCCTTAGTAGGTAAAAGAGCAAAGTACTTACGAAATGCTGAGTGGATATCCCTGTCATCTCCCTCACCATCACTAGGATCAGGGGTCTCTATGTCCTCGCTAGCACGCGTGGAGAGGAGAGATTCCAAAGGAGATGCAGGAGATGGCGGCCTGTGCCGCTCCCGGACCGCCGCCATCTTGGCTGCACTCTGTGCAGACCTCGTGGTGCCCGTTTTCGGGAAGAAAGTCCCGATATCACGTCTCCTGGACGAGGAAGCCTGGCGGGAGGGTGAGTGGGACCTCCGCTTCTTATTGCCGCCCATCGCTGTGCTGTTAGGAGGTTACAGGCTGCTGGTTCGTGTGCCTTATCCCTGCAATGCCACCGGAGCTCTAAAGAACACGTCCGCTCCTGGCCATTGCCAAGCCACGCCCCCCGGCCCTATTGCCTTTTAACAGTTTGTAAAATATGCATTTTTGCAATTGCCGCTTTATTTAAATAATATTATCACTATTGATTAAGTGTATGTTAAATCCATACCTTAGATTAATGTTCAATATTTTTTTAATCTGCAGTTTTTATTAAAATAAGATCTGCTTTTCCTGCCATAAGGGTCCTTGTGCATGCACTACCTCTTATAGGGTGACAACCCCAATTGTGTTCATGTTGTCACTATGTGACACAAGCTTCCAATGGAGAATAATATGCAGGCATGGACCACTGTTGTCACAATCAGAAAACCTTCCCTGAGAAATTCCATGCTGCCATTGTTGTAGTACATGCTTGTAGACAGAAAGTGGCTGCAAAGAGGCTGCAGGAAATAAACAGTACAGAGATGCAGCAAAAGATGAAAAAAGGTGAAAACTAAGGGGTCTATTTACAAAGCTGCCGAAGGGTCCAGCCGTAGCCTTGGCTGATCCTTCGGCTAGCTTCGGTTTCAGGAGCCCTTTGGTTCAGTCGCAGCCGATGTACAGCTTAAATAAGCCATACTGAGCCGTAGCGAATAGCTGAACGTTGTTCGGCTCACTTCACTTTGACTCCCTTATTCACTCGGCTGCCTTCGGCAGCTTCGTGAATAACACTGTAAGTACTTTAGTTAAAAGAAAACCAAAAATGGCAATTGTCCAATTGTTTATGTTTAAGGCTTAATTCACAACTATACCTTAGGTGCGATTTGGTATTCCTGTGTCAGGAACTTACAATTTCCTGCAGGAGGAATCCAAATATTCCATTTACAAGTGGCAGCTGTCACCCATTCAAGTTAGTGATCGGGTGATGGTGGCCGCATTTGAAAGAGGAAGACCGCTGGCACTCCGCATGTAATTGTATGTAATCATATTGTATAGAATCCATCACTATCCCTGGATATATCGATTGTGCCTCTTATAGGGTATGCAGCTTGATTTAAACTTAAAACTTTTTGAAGCTGTATGAAATGATTTATCAACACAAAAGTGATAGAATAGGGACTCCAATACAACAGATTTATGGAAATAAACAATGTTGGTAACAACCTAAACATTTACAGACACCTCACATCAAGTGCACAGTGGGGTGCAGCTTCATTGGATATGCATATAAACATGCATATAAAACACAATACATGATGTGGATTGTGGTGTGCTACAGTGAAACAAAAAACACTGTTGATGTTGGAGCGATTTTTGTGTTGGAGCCAGCTGAAAATGAACAGGCTGTGGTATGGCTGTATTCCTCAATAAAGCATGTTGCAGGACATGATGTGAAAGTGCCATTATAAGTGTTAATGCTGATGCTCATTGTGCAGGCATGTTCTGCCATTATCTCCATCCGTAAATCCACACTGAGCAATGGCATGCAGCTGCAGCTGTTACTGTAGAGGGTGCATGTGGAGAGGGTGCAAAGAGGCCCCTGGAAATAAGCAGTATTGAAATGCCAAAGAAAAGGATAAAAATAAAAAAAGGATATAGTATATTCCAAAAGAAAAATAATTGCCATTTGTTCATGATACACAGTGCCTTAGCAAATGAAATATCGATATCATCTAATTAGGGTTCACATCTGCTTTAAAATACGTGTACCATTTTCTTAATTTTCCCCTTATACCCGTTCTTACAAGGATTTTATTTTAGAATATCCCAGCAATATTTAATTTGGTTTCATTTGCCTTTAAATAACAAATTTAGGGTCTGTGTACTTTCCTGTGAGTCATCTCACCCAGGGACATAATATTCTTTGAATAGGAAGACCAGCACAAAGTAGAATCTGTCTGCAAGTCCTCAGCATGCCACAGCAGAACGATTCTTTAGCACAAATATCAGCACAGAATATTCAGTCATGTAAATCGTTTTTATTTTTTTAAAATATTCAGATATGTAAATTACTTTTTATTTCTAAAATAATGTTTACTATGAATCCAGTTAAAGTTAAAAAGGCAATGGAACATTTGACAGTTTATGTTCTCCTGTTATAGAAAAATACAATGTAAAACAAGTTAAACAAAAACAGTAAGCATTGGTTAGAAACTACTACATCTGGAGCTATAATATTGATATGCTTTTCACATTGTTAATGGTTTGTTTATTCATATTAAAAGGTATTAGTTCTCTATGTTTTATTTAATGCACCTTATTCAGAAATAAAAGCACAATATAAATATAAAGTGAAGTATCTTATTGTATTTTTATTCTCTGCTACAGAGATACATATCACAAACTCACTAATAATTCTAGTGCAGAACAGTAGCATTATACATGATTTTGCGAGAAAGAAGTCACATAGTTATCATATATAGTCATTGACTAACAGTTTTAGAAATGTTCGATCAATAGCGAAGGCAATATTTGTAACAAATATATTGAACCGACATCTTATGCAATGTAAACGATCACTAAATAAGAGGCTAAAAATAAAATATGGTCCGTCTTGCAAAATATCAATGTACAGCAGGCACTGTCCTTTGTAGATTTGTTAACAATAAACTTAAAACAAAAAAACACTCCCAAATGTCCAGAATAATAATTCTCTCAGGGAATTAGTGAAAGCCTATCTACTATGTTATCAATTTCAAAAGGAAGATACTTGTTATAGTATAGACAATGACATTTGTAATACCATACTAAGAAGTAAAATGTAAATACCTTTGAAGTCCCTGTATGTTCAAAGAGAATTTTTCCATAATGAATACTCAATTTAATGACTAGATATTGCTGTATAGAAAAAAAATCAGCATGGGGAATAGATAATAATCTACTTGAAGACTAGTTCACTTACATTTACTTTATTTCTTAAGCAGGTAAATGTTTATATTTTTTAAAAAAACATTAATTATACACATTAACTAGCAGTTAGGAATAGACTTCTGGAAAAGTAAAAACACAGTACCTTATGTTTTGTTCAAGTTACTCAACAAGTAATTCACGTCATAACTGAAGATCTACAGATAAGATCTTAAAGTGAACCTTTACTTTGTCCATAGTGAGCAAAGGAACAGGTTCACCTTATACAGGAACAATACACATGTTGTATGTAATTTTCCTGCATTCCCACACCGTCCTCTTCTGGGGACCACCGGAGATCATTAGAGATACCAGATACCACCAGATGTAGGGGAATATGTGGCCCTTTCCTCTTCTTCCCACAATAAAGTGCTCAGTGCCTGAACATCTAATAGCCAGGCCAGACCACTGTCACAAACGCCGGGGTGAGCAAGTATAGCCACGGTAAGCTTTCATTTTTTCAGGTAGTCAAAAGTTTGCAGACATTTCTGGGTCCTCTGTCCGTGGATTCAGGCATGGAAGAACATTAAGAAGGTAAGTGTAGCATGCCTTCTCTGCCTACTAAACATTAAAGCAATTTATTGTGGGTAAAAAGCAAAGTTGCAACTGCATCATGAAGATTACCAGTAACCGTTTAAAATCTCTCTATCATGTGCAAATAAGAGCATTTTTAAGTCATGATTGTTTCTTCAGTTAACTAAAGACCCCTAAGGATGATAAAAAAGATAAGGGTCAAATATGTACCACATGAAAACAGTACTATGTTCCACGAAGAGCAGCAAATATTTTAACATTTTTCTTGGCTAAACATGTTTAGTGTGATTTCCTAAATTCCCACATTTGATCAATTGCATCTTCAAAAACACTTACATTTTTCAGAAAAAAAGTTTTGTCTTTTTAGTTAAATATAACCCTGATTACATTGTCTGACTCAGTTTTCAGTTCAAAAGTAAATTCTCTTTTTAATAGCATGCTTGCCCTTGCGGTCCCTAAATTAGATGACAATGATATGACTACTAGAAAAACTTATTTTCAACAATCATGATGAAAATAAATGTGCATCCTTAGATTTCCTGAGCTTGCATGCATTATTGATGTTTGGTAAAGTCAAATTTTCAGGGAAATGGCTAAAAAGAAAATTAAACCTTGCCAGTCCCCTGAAACATGCTGCTTTATGTTCTGACCCAGAGACATAAGAACTGTTTTCCAATTTGACCAAAGTCAGCTGAATTGGACAATAATCATGTTATGGTGTACAGAAAACGTTTTTTTTTTCCAGATAATTGTCTTTACAACCATCATGGATGTTTATAAACATGTTCCTTATTTGAGGTTTCCTATCTATACTTTTTGCAAAATCATTTATTTATGATGGGCAGTTGTGGTTGGTTAGGTATAATAGATCAACAGTACCCAAAAAGCCTGTATTGTAACTAAACTTATAGGATGTTTATCAATTACGATTACGTTTATTTCTGGTACATCTTTGCTTATAACTGTAAACTTTGCATATTCTACAGATTTAAATGTTTTAGTTTGGCATTAGCTATTAAATGGAGGGGACAGAAGGCAGCAGCTTGTCCCAAATAACTTTATTTGAGCTTCAGCATACAGGTGAGATGTTTGCACTTAACGTCCCCAGCTGTAGCCATGACTACAACTAAAGACATAAGGTCCGAAACACGTCATGTGGAGTTATCACCTCCATGCTGAAGTTGAAAATAAAGAGTTATTTTGGACATTGGATTTGCTGCTGCCTTATGCCACCTCATTATGGTGAGAAAAGAGGAATGCAGAATTGCTAGTAGGGAAATGGTTTGGCCAGAGCAACCTTGTGCTGTTGTACTAGCTACTGAATGAGATACGCTTATGGGTTACTGGTCTCAATAGCTGTAGGGCTATACAGCTCAACATTCACCATAAAGCTTTCAGATTATAGCAATAAATGATGTGTCTGTTATAGGCAAAAATGTTTTATCTGTTAAGTTAACTAAAAAACAAACTTTTTCAGTTCTTTCCCACCTGTTTTTTTCCAAGTATGATCTCCAGTAAAAATAGAAAATAAAAATATGTAGCAGTGCAAATAGGATAAAGTCCTACAACTCTAAAAGTCTTCTTTCAGCTTAAATAAAAAAAAAAAATCACATAAAAACTCCAGTTGTTTTCAAACAGTCATAGCTTCATGATGGGAAACAAATTCCACAGCATTCCATGCAAATTTCCAAACAGTCTGAGGATTCACAACAGGCGTCCATTATGCCACAATCCATGTCACAAGGACAGTTGCAGTCATCTCCCATTTCTTCACCACAGCAACAACAACAAGCTTCAGAAGTGCAGATTCCACAAGATGCTTGTCCCAATACAATGTTACAGAGTGTTAGGAACTCGCAGAATAAGCATGCTAAGATACAGTGAACACAGCAATCTTGATTGGTTGAGGAAGCCCACGGTAGGTATATATGAAAGGGAAGACAAAAAATAGGACAATTAAAACAATCTTTTAAATACATTCTACAAAACAAACAACTTCGAGAACAGGTAGTACTTAAAGAAAAATATTAACATACATTAAACAAATACTCATTTATAATATTATTGGTAAAAAGACATGTTATAAAAGCACATTAACATATAGTTTATTCTTCTTTATGTTGTTTTTTACAATGTTGTGTTAATTCTGTTAACTGAAGTACATTTTTGCACAATGTTCGCAACATAAACTGAAAATGTAAAAGTAAAATACTCAGGATTTTTTATATATATATATATAAATAAATAATCAACCATATTATAGCTGGACACAAAACATTTTTGAAGAGTTTTCTCATCTTATATTAAATCTCTATTTGTCATTTTTAGGACTCTATTGAGAACAAATAGAAACATATAATTTATATAATTTCACCACCATAAAGCAGCCCACGACAATGCCATCATCAGTATGATGTAAAAACATCCAAAAATCCCCAAAACCTTGGGTATGCTAAAATGTAAATGCCAAAAGATGTTTCCCCGCACCTCTTTTGTTTCCCCATTGACTTCGTAGTAAGAAATCTGTATTTGCAAATTAAAGCATCTCGGATTCTCGTGACCCAGGTTGGTGTGGTACACAACTAAGGCAATGTGCAGGAACTGTGGCCTGATGCCTTCACTAAGACTGATACCATTTTGCAAACAAGCAACTGGGTACAGAGTCACCTTGAATAGTGACACACAATGCAATATTTTTAAAGGGAATTTAACAACAGATATTTTGCTGTACATACACCGTCTCTCCAAAAAGTTAACTCTGTCATTTTAAAATCCAAAATCAGAAGAGGGTTAATACTTATCTTCAATGTTTTCACTAGCTGTGCTGGCTAAAACCTCTTCAGCATCTGCCACACTTCTGGGTGTGTCAGATCCCTGGTGCCCCATTGCAAAAGGTGGTTCTTTCCTCCAGCTGACTACTGTGTGTCTTAAAAGGATCTAGGCGCCAGAGAAAGGAAACATAGCATGCAGAGGAGGACTAGGCATCTGACACTCCCGGAAGTGTTGGATTTTTTTTAAACATAGTTCAGCCAGTATAGCTTATGATGACAGCAGAGACCAATGGTTGGAGAGAGGTAAGAATATACCCTTTTGTTTGCGGGAATTCCTTTGGTTTTGACTTTATTTTCTAAAAAGTGGCTACATAATCGAGTAAAAGCTGGAAGTATATAAATAACAAACCAAGTTATCTTGTGTTTAGAATGAACTTGTCTTTACAGGTTTGAAGCTCGCTACATATTTTTACAATGGTTGGTAGAAATAATAGAATTACAGTATACACTAAAATATGGATATCACGACAAATCATCAGAGGATACCATATATCAAACATCAGCATGAGATTCATCTTCAGCTAAGGCCGAATTTAAATTTTCATTCAAGAAATGTCTGTTTTACTCTAAAATAAGATTTGATCAGAATATCTGCATGTTTGTATGAAGTGATGTAGAAAAAGAGAGCTAGTGCTCTTAACCTGCTAGACATACACATGTAGGTATATGAATAATCAGCACCCTTCTTCCTCTTAAAAATAGCACTTGTCACAATTTGTCAGCTGTGGCTGCATGTGTGTATTTGCTATGTGCCTCTGAATGGTGCCTCTGAATGTATTTGCTGAATGGTGCAGTATGTATCAAGGTGCATAGTGCAATGTGTATTGGGGCGCATGGTGTATAAAAGGATGCATGGTTCAGTGTATATCGGGTACATGGTGCTTTGTGTATTGAGGTGCATGGTGATGTGTATATCATGTTAAATGGTGCAGTGTGGGTCAGAGATTATGGTGAAATTTGTATCAGGATGCAGTGTGCAACAGGTTGCATGGTGCTCTGTGCATAGTGGTGCACGGTGCAGTATGTATAAAGATGAATGGTACAATATGTATCACATTACATGGTGCAGTGTGTATTGGTTGCATGGTGCAATGTGTATCATGGTAGGGGGTGTTTTTTAGGATGCATAGTGCCGTGTATATCAAGGTGCATGGTGCAGTGAGTCTTGGGTGTGGCATGGAGTAGTGTGTATTGGAGGCTTGGTGCAGTGTGTATCACGGAGCATAGTACATGGTGCAGTGAGCATCTGGGAGCAAGTGTAGTGGGTATTGGGGTTCATAATGCAGTTTGTATTGGGGAGCAGAGTGCAGTGTGTAATGGAGTGCATGGTATAGTGTGCATGCTGTAGCGTAGAATTAAAAGTTTAACCAAAAGGCCTAATCCATGAGGATGGTAAACACTGTGCCCCTTTTCCCTGTAGAATTCACTGAATAATCTTGATCCTTACATTGCATTACAAAATCCCATATAAACACTGCAGTTGAACGTATTAACATACAAATGGTCATATACAGTAAGTGATGACTGCTTTTCAATGAAAGATTCGTTATTTGAAGTGGTGCACTACACCAAGATAGCATAACTTACTAACTATAGAAAAGTATTTAGAGTGTATCAGATTTTATCATTCACATCTATAGTGTGTAAGTAGGGCCAAGCTTAGCCAGAGTGCAGCTACAGAATTTACTGATATTTTCAATGGAAAACAATGTTTAAAATTATGCAAAATTTGAACTACGCTGACACTTCAAGGAATGTAATTATGGTATAAAAATCAAGAATCCCCATAGTTTTGTGCTTACTGATTTATAAGCAGGACATTGGTATGCTGCAACAATAAATATAAAAAGTAATTTTTTGCTGCTACAGTTGAGAATCCCATCTGTAAAATTATATCATAATAAGCATAAAACTGCATTATATTCTTCTGAGGAAAGACAGGTTCACCGATATTGTAGTATAACACATTTGGACTTTCTGTAATAACATGACTTGTGCATAGTGATGTAGTCATTAATTGCAGATTTTAAAGTATTTTTATGGTATCTGGAATTCAATGTTCGAATTTTGAGTTGGATCATACAAAGAAATGCATGTTAATGCTTAAGGTGCACCCACACACATACTATGGACATTTAACATTTACATGTTCTTACATGAAGAAATAAAATAGCTCAAAACAAGCCACCCCTAACCTCTACAGCTGCCTGTAATGTGAAGCTATTCACTCTCAGATCCTCAAAGATCACAACATCTTCTAAGGCCTCATTCACATGAGCTTTTTAGAGCCAGCAGTACATTACTGTAGCAAGAATCAGCAGATTATTGCAGCAGATGACTGGTCCTGGATACAGATTGTGTCCAGCGATGGTCATCTGTCCCTAGCCACTGGAAACTGTGGAATATACGCATACATGCGAATAGTGTTGGACAACTATGGCTCCTGTCAGCCTCTCACTGTTTTGTCTCTAGAACCACCCGTGATTCCATTTGCAAGAATCCCTTGATTCCTGCTGCAGGAATCTGATGTTGTTCCTAAAAAGCCTGTAAGAATGAGGCCTTAGGGGCGATCAGCAGTAAGGACAACAATGATGGCAGTTATTCCACTGCAAAAGAAAGAGAGTTGTCACCCTATCAATGGATATGGCTAAACAATGGTTCTAGTGGCAGGGTCAACAGGCATTTTTTAAACTTT